AGCATAAACTTTCAAAAAATATTTGTAAACTTATACAGAATGATAGACACCAGTTACTTAGTATTGATATTGATGATCTTGGTCATAGACTTCAAGTTAAACTGAACATGGCACCACATGGAGTTTACTATTTCACGTCTTCTCTTCAAATTTATGAAAGTGTTTTGACCATGCAATATTTAAATATTGCAGTAGGGATAAATTTACTGCATAAGGAATTTTTAAAACATTTACACAATAAACACATAAGAACAATAAAGCAATATGTAGGTAAACTTATGACCTTTTGTGATAATGGTAATAGATTAGAACAGACTGCAGTCAAGCTTCTAGCACCTTTACTTTTTACCACATACGGATCTATCCTAGCATCATCAAACCTTGGTGACAATAATCAAGTGTCACCTGAATCATTGGTTTGGCTATCAGCTGGTTTAAACTCAGATAACTCATCTGGCAGACTTAAATTGGCCTCAGTGTTCTACAGTACAGGTGATATGGAGAAAGCTGAACAAATACTTAGACACACTGAACAACAATATTACTCTTATCCTGTTTTACCTATCTGTTACTGCTGGAGTACGCCTCCAGCAGAATTCAAGAGGGTATGTGGTGAACAAAGTGAGGACTGTATCAAACATATTACAGCATTTTGTGTCAGATTCATACAGAAAGAGATCAACTGTGTTCCTCATGAACTACAATATGAAATGTTCAGATCTACACAAGATGACCTGATACACAGACATCAGAGAAATGCCGGTTGGATGGACTGGGCTGTAGTTGATTCTCTACCTCTCCTGTACTTCCTACAATACAAGATCTACCGTCGTCTACAAAGACATCAAGATCAACAACAAGCACTTAGTAAACTTATAAGAACCATAGATACTGATAAAAACCTCAAACATAGAGAAACAGCCCTAAACATCTTAGGACAATGTATGGAACAAGAACACAGACCACAACAAGCATTAAATTGCTACCTGATTTCTCTTCAACAAAGGGCAAGAAACAATGTAGCAAACATACATATATGTAAACTCCTTTCCAGCATATTGAATAGGCAATAAAATGGAGTCAAAACAGACAGTATGAAGTATCACTTTCAATGATCATATACTGATTGTCTCTATCAGACTGATTCAAATGTTAAATAATAAAATTGTCATCATTCTTTTTATCATATTTTATGTTAAATTAAAAGAATGAATCAGACTTCAATGACTTTCTAATTTTACATTTGAGAGATAATTGACAGATAATTGATAGATATTTATGAGATAATTGAGAGATCATTGAGAGATAATTGAGAGATAAGAGCCTCTTGTGAAGAGGACAATATTGCTCATGAAAATCAATTTCAAATTTCTGTTTATATGATGATGAATATTTTCCCCCAATCTTTATTTACACAATAGTCAAAACTGTTTTAGCTGTCATCTATAAAAATATAACTTCTATTGTTGGCAATAATTATTTATTAAATGTTTTGGATTGATAAATATATGTACCTTGTATATATAGTCTTGTTCTTACTTAATAATAATGTGCCTTGTATATATAGTCTTGTTCTTACTTAATAATATATGTGCCTTGTATATATAGTGTTGTCGTTCTTTATTATATTTACCCTGTATAATATAGTCTTGTTTTTATTAAATGTAACGTACCCTGTATAATAACATGACCCTGTCAGCAGCCACCATTGTCTCGAGTCAATAAGAATAATGTTAATGTCAACTGCAGAATGTACAAAAAAAGAGCCGCGTCACGACAAAACCAACATAATGGGTTTATGACCAGCATGGATCCAGACCAGCCTGCGCATCCGCGCAGTCAGGATCCATGCCGTTCGCTTACAGACCCTATAACAAGTAAAGAAACTGCTAGCGAACAGCATGGATCCTGATCAAATTGTGCGGATGCACAGGCTGGTCTGGATCCATGCTGGTCGCAAACCCACTATGTTGGTTTTGTCGTGACACGGCTCAAATAATGGTTCTTTATAGCCCACTGGTATCCATCTCTAGAAAAGATCACAATTCTTAAATGCAAAAGTAGTTCATTAAACTGAGATTAATTTGGATCAAAGGGACATGATTTATCTAACTTTTAAAGAGGTGCACTAAGCAATGCTACATGATAAAAATCATATGGTTTCAGACAACATTGCTATACAAGGTTTCGTTAGCAAAATATGAGCTCTCAGTAATTTAGATTTTAAGTACAAAATTTTAAAGCTCTGGGACTCGAACCGTAGGCCCATGGAATACCGTTCCGCTGCTATACCAACTGAGCTATCCAGTCGCTTACACATCTTACGTCCTATGTAAAGAACAGTTCTGAACAGTGACATACTCCCCCCTATATAGAAATATGTCCCCAAATTTCTCAGGGTTACAGAGCAAAGCTTATTAAACTGTGAGCTATACTCAGTCACGTTTCCCCAGACTGAACTATATGGTCGCTTACACATCTTCTCCCCTGAGCCGTGACATAAATCTACCATTATAGTCAAACAGTTATTGTTCAAGTTAAAGAAGTTTAAACTAGAAAAGTGTCTATAGGGTACTTAGTTCTGCACCCCCCCCCCCCCCCCAAAAATCATTTGCCTGTCACAAAGGCATATACCGAGGAACATTCTTTCATAAAGGTAAAGTGTTGTATCAATAAGTGTTATAACAAATTTTTGAAAAATAATAGAATGAGCAGAAGAGTTTTTGTCACAAAAACATGTTACCGAAAACTATGTATGGTAACTCATGTGAAGTTTCATTGAATGAATCCCACCAGTAGCTTGACCTGTGAAAGCTGGACAAGATTTTTTATTTATAGCTCTGGGGGCCATAGAGTACAGTGAAGCAGAACATGCCAGCCATATGCACATCCAGGGATGACTGTTCACTCCTAAGAAGTTTCATAGAAATCTAACCATCAGTTCTATCTGTGCAAGCTGGACAAGATTATTCTATTTATAGCTCTAGCGACCTTTTTGTGCAGTGAAGTAAAATGTGCTGGCAAAATGCACAACTTAGGATAGTACTGATCACTTCTGTGAAGTTTGGTTGAAATCCAACCAGTAGTTTGACCTGTGAAAGCTAGACAAGATTATTCTATTTTTAGCTCTGGTATGCTGGTGATGTGCAGAACAAGGGATGATACTTATCACTCCTGTAAAATTCCACCAGTAGTTAGACCTGTGAAGTTTGGTTGAAATCCAACCAGTAGTTTGACCTGTGATGGCCAGACAAGCTTAATGCTGACAGACGGACAACCAGACAAATGGATGGATGGAAGGCCAGATAGCAGAGGCAAAAAGAATATGTCTCCCAAAAATTCTTGTAAGTATAAAAGGCATACAGTACTGCAATAGTTGTTTGTGATTATGATCTCAGGGGGATAGGAAATTGTCTGCTCTGAACATTTTAGACAAAAAAAAGACTTCCATTAATTTGTACTTAATGTTCCACTTTAATTCTGACATAATGTTAAAAATTAACTTATTGGCCATTCTTAACATTTGAGCCTCGTCACGACAAAACCAACATAGTGCGTTTGCGACCAGCATGGATCCAGACAAGCCTGCGCATCCGCACAGTTTGATCAGGATCCCATGCGTTTCGCTAGCAGGTTTTTTTTACTTGTTATAGGGGGTGAAAACCCCTTGGCCAAAAATCCAACCAAAAAAATTTTAAAATGCTTTTAAAAGTAAATTTGGAGTTTTTTTTTGCAAAGGCCAAGGGGTTTAAACATTTTTGGGGTTTAAAAAAATCTGGGGGTTGGAAATTTTTTAAGAAATGTGGTGTTTCTTCAATTTTTTATTTTTGAAATAAGAATGTCAGGAACCCCAAGGGGTATCGACAAAACGCGTTATTTTAATTTAAAAAGCTTTACAAAATAATGGGGTTTTTCAAATTTACCCCGCAAAAAATTGAAATTTAAAATCCGAAAGGTTTAAGACACGTAAAAACCGTTTATCTCATTTTGGTCAGTGTTTTTAAATTTAACATCACAATTTTTATTTTTAAGCCTTTTTTTTATTGCAAATTGTAACAGACAGACGCCAATTTCTCTTCTGAAAATGCTTTGCAGAAATGCGGACATCGTCGCTATTCATAGTCAATAAGCGCTTGCTCGCTAAACAGGTTTTGTTTTATTTACACGTTGTGATAAGTACTACTAGTTTTGTACGCAAATTGGTTCATACTTTCCCAGGTTTTTCCCAATTTTTTCCAGATGGCGTAAAAAATCAAGACTTTTTCAAGACAATTTTTTTTCGATATTCCAAACTTTTTCCTATTTTCCTGGTAGAGTGGGAACCCTGTAACCACTAAAATGCTACACACTTAAAATAAGTACGGAAACTAATCAGGCGCATTTTAGCTCAATATCAGTTATGGCAGCATTTATTTGTTGATGTCGTGTTAGAATCAAAATAATACATTTGTATATACAAATCAGTAATGTTATTGCTTGATAACATCACTGTTTGTCGTCAGGATGCGCATCATTATTTCACTTAGGCTACACCCTTGTTATATAATTCCTCACATCCAAACTCCAAACAGTGATTTTATTGGACGATAAAATCATAGTTTGGGACATATTATTTCTTAAATAAATAACAAAGTTATGGCAATTTAAGCAAATTTTAATAATTTGGCCTTGATAGTCAAGATAGTTAAGATTTTATCATTCAACATATGGGTTTCATCATAAGGGTTATTTTGTTGAAGTATTAATCAAGAATGTTAATGAATAAAGTTAAAAGCTAAATTCAAAATTTGACCTTGACAGTAATTTTACACGTAAATTCTTTAGAGGGTATAATCTAATCAAGAAGCCAACAAAACCACATAGCATACTATTGTAATAAATGGATGTTTCATTTCCATTTGATGTCATTGAACTTCAGTTTATATTACTTGTGATTTTTTTATAGTAATACAATGTATTATATAATAACGAAAATACATGGTCATAATTCAGCGACTTACCATCGGAAAAGCCATTTTTCGTGTTATTTCAGCGTAATCACTGTTACGATCATTGACCTGTGACTGACCCGCGGCAAGATGAGCACAAACAAAACACATAGATGTAGAATGTAAGAGAAAACGTATTCCTACGCCACCTTTGTTCCCCGCAGCACCACCAAGACCAGTTTTCACAGTATCTATAGCAACGTCTCTAGAAAAATAAATCCATCAAATAAAATACACAAATTAGATGACAAATTTTTTTATTATAAGATAACTTACTTGGAACAACAATATTGTCTTCTTGTTCATTCTTTCATACACATTAAGACTTCTTACATTGAAAGATTTTCAAATTAAGTTAATTCTAGATATACTATTAGCTAATTTAGAAGCTGCTGAAGGGACATGCGGTAGATTATAGCCTGAATGACATAAATATGACCCAAGGCACTAACCGTTGCAAAGGCTGTACAATAAAGAAGTAATTAAAGTACGGTGAACTGAAGGCAATTATCTTTTTAAGTTAAAAAATATTGGCTATTATTTTTTTAAGCCAGTGTGAGCCCTGTATTTCCACCACTGATGTGGGTTTGAATCCCAACAGACACTTTTGATTCTTTCATATGAGGAACATCAGTGGTTCTACACAGGTGCCCGCTTGTGCCTGAAATGATGAAGAAAAGGGGCACCTGATGTCTTCTTTCACCAGTAAAGCTAGACAGCGGCCATACGAGCATTACAGTGTTGAAACCATGCCAAACCAAAACAAACAAAAAATTCTAATGTTAACCCCCCAAAAAAGTTTTTAATAACAGTTAAAACTTACCTTATAAATGGTGCTAGATGTGGGCGTATGAACACATAAAGTAGTACTCCAACCAGTTGTACTTTGGTTAAAAGAACATATTTGTGGTCTCGGGATATAGTCTTTTGAATATATTTTTCCCACTCTCTAGAATTAGTTTGACTGCAATTTGAAAAAAAATATTAAAATAAAACTTTCTTTCACTAGATCATCAAGATCATCATGCAATTAGAAGACAGTTGTAAATATGTTTATGACAACATCTGATATCAAAATTCCCAAACACTTAATTGCAGCTTAATTTGGAATATTGCTACCTTACTGATATGACAACAAGAGGGCCATGATGGACCATAATGTTGGCCATATAAGTTTTCTTTGTTCAGGTATAGATAAAATCAATAAATAAATAACAAACTTATAGCCAATTGAAGCAAATTCACTAATATGACCGTAAAATGAAATGCATAATCTCCTACTGGTCGGTGACTATTAACCAGACCCTTTTTTCCATACAGATTTCATAATTTGTATGCAAGAGATCTGAAAATTTGACACAGTATAGCCAGGTTCTTCTCCCAACTAACAAACTTGTTTATTTACTTCTGATTAAGTTGACACTTATATCTGAGGCCCATCAAGAAGGGTATCAAAATTACCTAACTTGTCCACAATACAGTACCATGTGTCCGGACAGATATGTACATGACATTGATTTAATTCAGATAAAAGCTTGGGTGTTTTAATTTTCTATTTTCAACATGATATAAAATATTTCAGCAGCAAATGCTGTAGTTTTGGATATTGTATCGTTTACACTACAAATGATTATGGCTAGTAAAAGAGGTCATGTATTGCACTCTTGATGTCTAAATTTTCAACAGCAACGTTCTTGAGACAGACATTTAAATATTATATACAGGTACTGTTTACAACAGTTGTAATAAACTTGATTACTTAATTATAGAAGATTCATGAATTTATAGTTTGTAAAAAGTGATTGATAGATCCACAACCACTGAAAAAAAAAATCGGGCTTTTCCTGGGCCGTCCGGGTTTGGAGGTTGTTGGGTTTTGGTGGACTCCAACCAGTACTGCCATCTATCCATATTCAAAGTTTCATAAAAATATTTTCAGAGCTTTTCTGAGTTATCACAGGATTCAGTTTTAAGAGGACAGACGGACGGAAGTCAAACATATTGTCCCGACTGGTAAAATCGGTAGACGATGTTTTGTGTTTGTGTTTAATATATTGTCTGGAAGGCCACATTTAAAATTAAGATATGTTATTTTTCTACAATGGTATATCTTCATGTGTTACCTTCTTTAAATAAAGATAATATTATTATTATTATAATTATTATTATTACTATTATCAATATTATTATTAATATTATTATTTTTATTATTATAACTATTATTATTATTATTATTATTATCATTATTACTTTTATTATTATTATCATTATTATTATAATTATCATTATTATTATTACTATTATTATAATTATTATTATCATTATTATAATTATTATTACTATAATTATTATTACTATTATTATTATAACTTTTAATATTATTATCATTATTATAATTATTATCATTATACTAACAAGAGCCATGTATTCTTATGCTGTATTCACAAAGGGGAATAATTTCATTCACATTTCATGTAAAGAGTTATTTTTCTTGTTCAGTGACCAAAATCAATGACAACAGAGACAAGTAAAGCTTCACGAGACTAAAGTTGATTGTGAATTACATATGAGCCGTGTCACGACAAAACCAACATAGTTTGTTTGCAACCAGCATCCGCGCAGTCTGATCAGGATCCATTCTGTTCGCTGTCAGTTTCTCTACTTCTAATAGTGTTTGTAGGCTAACAGGCATGGATCCTGATCAGACTGCACAGATGTGCAGGCTTGTCTGGATCCATGCTGGTGGCAAGCGCACTATGTTGGTTTTGTCATGGCACAGCTCAGATTAAGTTGCATACATGGAATAGTAGGATACCTCCCTGAAATTTTCAAATTATCAATGCAAAAGAGAATTTAAAGCTCAAACCTAGCACTCATTATATTGCTGGCATTCAAATCTACCATTTCTTCAAATCCTATAGCAAATATATCTACTGGTACATCATAATCAGCAGAGGGGTCCAACAAATCTGAAAATAGATAATAATATAATAAAAATGCGAAAATTATCACATCTTAAGCGCAAAATTTAGTATAAATTTTGCATGTATTAAAATTCCCTAGTCTCTCATGCGATAATTACATGTAGCTCCCTTCAACGTGATTATTATCGCATGAAGAACACACAACATACAAAAACTAAGACGTTAATCATCGAAGCAAAATTGTTCCTGGTCTATAGAAAAGGCGACAATTATCACTTGAGAGACCAGCGAAAATTAAGACATTTAAAAATTACTACAAAATTTCACCCTTTAGAGGCAGTAATTATCGCGAGTTTACTTTTGAAATTTTGTGGACGAAATAGGACACAGAAGAAGAGGGATCCAACAAATCTGAAAATAAACCAATCAGTTGAGTTCTTGCCTGTCAATTAATCTAACTTTAAATCCTTTTTAATAATAGATTGTCTCCTAAATAAGATATATATAGATTTTTTTTTTTCTCCTTAACAATATATACGAGGGTTGTTCAAAAAGTAATAGGACTGGGAGTCTTGTGTGTTCAAATTTCATTCAATTTAGAATATTTTCATATGTACAGCAATCGTAAAATGTTTTCTACAAATCAAACATACGTTTATTAATCTATTGTGCTAAACGCGCTTTTCCTTTGCTATTGAATAACCATGGTAACACGCACCCGGCGCAGCACATAAATATAGTTATTAGAACTAAGTTCTACTTCTAATTAATTCATAAATAACTATTTGTTTTCCCCTGTATTCCACCAATACGTTGAAATATATTAATGTGACATTATGTCCAAATTTGACGCCATTCGGACATGAAATGGCCTATTTATTAAGTTTTGAACAGCAGCGGTCATAGCGTTAGATGTAAAAATATGACATTTGTTAACAAACAGAAAATGTGTGCCATCGTTAAATTTTGCCAACATATTAACTATAATCATTCAGATACACACAAAATGATTAAATAAACTAAGGACAATTATCCTGCCATTAGGACACTTGTTTTCAGCTGGCACAAGCAATTCAAAAACTGCAAATACAAGATCACTAACGAGAAAGTGCGAGGATGAAAGTTGAAAATTGACGGGACGTTAGTGACGTCAATTGCAAAAGCGCTACAAAAGAATCCACGGTAAACGTTACGCGAACTGTTTAATCGTTGTTTGTATCTGCTTCGGGTCTATTTATTCAGTTTAAACCAAAGGCTTGTAAATAAGAAATTTGTTATAAACACTATTTTATTGTATTTAACTAGATATACGTGTAATCAATAAATTAATGTAATAAATGTAATAGTTAACGGTAATTATTAGTAGTGTTTCCCGAAAACTTGTTTAAATAAACGATAGACTGTGCTAAGTAGAAAAGGATACTTTTCAATTGAGAAATATCTTTATTGTTCTGTATATCATCATATTGTTTTAAAAACATACAATGACATGAGTAAATTAATAAAATAAATTGCCTTTGCTTTAACATTTTCAGTCCTATTGAGTTCCAAGGTTACTCAAAAAAACACGAGAAAACCCGGAGAATGGCCTGCTATCGGGCATTTATTTTATTTTGTTTTTTTAAACAGTGGAACGAGAATGTGATCGCTTTTTTCTTGCTTCATCTCCACATATGAGGCAAAGTAAAAATTACATGACTCATACACCTAGAGACTAGGGAGACTACTTTCAGAAAGAATGACGCTTATTACAATTTCGATTTATTTTACGACGTCATGAACGTCAATTATTGTATTGTTAGCGTGCGCCGCGTTTCGTACCCCTTGTCATTTGAAAATTTCACAGAAATTTCATTTGTTTACATTTTGTTTTGATTTTTTTCACTGTTTAAAGAGAACATGTTCCGAGATTTGTCTCATGTAAAATTTTGTACGTAAATTTAAAAATGTGAACAGTAGAGCTGCAGTCCTATTACTTTTTGAACAACCCTCGTATTACCGTTAAAGTTTAAAGCCACTTACCAGAACCAGATTCTGATAGGATTCTGGGAGCATCTAACAGCCAATCATTCATAGATTGATGTTTAAATGCTATACTCCTAAAATGCTTGCCACCATTTACGTTCCACGTCCCTATGCAAACACGAACTGTCGATGTTTCCACATATTCCTTGTACCTGTTTACAACATTGTTTAAAATCATTGGAGATGCTGGAATAAAGCATAAAACAAATTATTGCAACATTACAAATATTTTTTCACAGTAAATATTTTAAGGTTCATGCATTTTTTAAGGGTATAAAATTATTAAATATATCCCATGAAATTTTTTAACACTAAAATTATGTTGTTTCCATACATTCTTATTGTTGGTCCTCGAAAACATTCTAGCATCTCTGTTATTTAATATACATGATTATTATATGATCTAAATATAGCTGCAATCTCATTGGTCCAAACAGAAGTCAACAGAACTTTTTTTAAAATCATATTCACTGGGTGTAGTATCATATTCACTGGCTGAATTGGATTTTCCCAGTCTAAAAATAGATTGAGACTCATTAAAAATAATTGTTGCTTTTTGTTCTTTATGGCATATTTCTCGATTAAAATATCATTACTTTACTATTATACTTAAAGGCTACACCGCAAAGATGAGTATAAACTTGCATTATTTTTGTATGCGCAGCGTTCGCGTAGTCGTTACACGCCTAACACGTGCGTCTTTTTTCTCGCGCTTTGAACACGAGGCAAAATTTGTACATGTATATAAGGTTGTACGTTTTGTGATTTTTTTATTTCTTATAGCCTATTCATATAATAAAACAATTATTGACTAGTGAGCCAATGAACATGATGTGATATTCACCGGCAGAAAGTCATATTGACCTCGGCTATCGCCTCAGTCAATATGTCATCTGCCGGTGAATATCACATCATATTCAATGGCTCACTAGTCAATAATTGTATAATAATGTATGTTAAAAGAATACAAGCATTTGATAGTATTGCGGGCAATACAGTAGTCCCCTACCGGTCCCTCAAAAAGTTCTTTAATTGTCATACACTCCTGTGTATTGCCATTTATAATGAATTTGAGGATGAAGTCTGTATTTGAAAATATCGACCGAAAAACATAATAAAATAAGTTTGTCTATATCACAGTAATGTGTTAAGTTTCCATGCTTAGTAAGGAAATTATGTTTATACAACCTTGTCATATTATTACGATGTGGGATTTTAAAGTAAATCCTATAAGGAATGAAGAAGTTGGAGTGAAAATACCAGTTTCTCGAAGAAAATCTAAGTTCAAGGGGGACATAATTCTGGAAATAGTCTTGCTAGAGTATTTAACCTTCTCAAAAATGTCGAGTGATAATAAGAAACATATATATGAAGTTTGAAGTAGATACATTAGGAAATAAAGAAGTTATTTAAAAAAGACAACATTTTTTCCCCTAAAAAATCTAAGTTCAAGGGAGGTAATATTGATATTTTTTGTGCTAGAGTTATAAACCTTGTCACATATGATGTGGTTGATGACCAGGAACTTATATTTAAAGTTTGAAGTAAACACCTTAAGAAATAAAGAACATATAGTGAAAAAGCTGAAAAATTTAAATCAGAAATCTTGAAATTCAGGATATGTGTTGCCATAGCAACCAGAATTTTCAACATAGGAAGAAAAGAAAAAGATGTGCATAATCTCCAGACTGCCATCTACCCATATTTCAAGTTTCATAAAAATATTTTCAGTACTTTTTGAGTTATCACTGGATCCAGTTTATGTGTTAAATTTGCCATATTTTCAGACTATTTGTTGCCATAGCAACCAGAATTTTCAACATAGGAAGAAAAAAAAAAGACGTGCATAATCTCCATACTGCCATCTATCCATATATCAAGTTTCATAAAAATATTTTCAGTACTTTTTGCGTTATCGCGGGATCCAGTTTTGTGGACGGACGGACTGACGGACTGACAGACTGACAGACAGACAGACAGACAGACGGACAGACGGACGGAGGGTAAACCTAAAGTCCCCTCTGGTTAAACCGGTAGGGGACTAATAATTGTATAATAATGTATGTTAAAAGAATACAAGCATTTGATAGTATTGCGGGCAATACAGTAGTCCCCTACCGGTCCCTCAAAAAGTTCTTTAATTGTCATACACTCCTGTGTATTGCCATTTATAATGAATTTGAGGATGAAGTCTGTATTTGAAAATATCGACCACAAAACATAATAAAATAAGTTTGTCTATATCACAGTAATGTGTTAAGTTTCCATGCTTAGTAAGGAAATTATGTTTATACAACCTTGTCATATTATTACGATGTGGGATTTTAAAGTAAATCCTATAAGGAATGAAGAAGTTGGAGTGAAAATACCAGTTTCTCGAAGAAAATCTAAGTTCAAGGGGGACATAATTCTGGAAATAGTCTTGCTAGAGTATTTAACCTTCTCAAAAATGTCGAGTGATAATAAGAAACATATATATGAAGTTTGAAGTAGATACATTAGGAAATAAAGAAGTTATTTAAAAAAGACAACATTTTTTCCCCTAAAAAATCTAAGTTCAAGGGAGGTAATATTGATATTTTTTGTGCTAGAGTTATAAACCTTGTCACATATGATGTGGTTGATGACCAGGAACTTATATTTAAAGTTTGAAGTAAACACCTTAAGAAATAAAGAACATATAGTGAAAAAGCTGAAAAATTTAAATCAGAAATCTTGAAATTCAGGATATGTGTTGCCATAGCAACCAGAATTTTCAACATAGGAAGAAAAGAAATAGATGTGCATAATCTCCAGACTGCCATCTACCCATATTTCAAGTTTCATAAAAATATTTTCAGTACTTTTTGAGTTATCACTGGATCCAGTTTATGTGTTAAATTTGCCATATTTTCAGACTATTTGTTGCCATAGCAACCAGAATTTTCAACATAGGAAGAAAAAAAAAAAGACGTGCATAATCTCCATACTGCCATCTATCCATATATCAAGTTTCATAAAAATATTTTCAGTACTTTTTGCGTTATCGCGGGATCCAGTTTTGTGGACGGACGGACTGACGGACTGACAGACTGACAGACAGACAGACGGACAGACGGACGGAGGGTAAACCTAAAGTCCCCTCTGGTTAAACCGGTAGGGGACTAATAATTGTATAATAATGTATGTTAAAAGAATACAAGCATTTGATAGTATTGCGGGCAATACAGTAGTCCCCTACCGGTCCCTCAAAAAGTTCTTTAATTGTCATACACTCCTGTGTATTGCCATTTATAATGAATTTGAGGATGAAGTCTGTATTTGAAAATATCGACCGAAAAACATAATAAAATAAGTTTGTCTATATCACAGTAATGTGTTAAGTTTCCATGCTTAGTAAGGAAATTATGTTTATACAACCTTGTCATATTATTACGATGTGGGATTTTAAAGTAAATCCTATAAGGAATGAAGAAGTTGGAGTGAAAATACCAGTTTCTCGAAGAAAATCTAAGTTCAAGGGGGACATAATTCTGGAAATAGTCTTGCTAGAGTATTTAACCTTCTCAAAAATGTCGAGTGATAATAAGAAACATATATATGAAGTTTGAAGTAGATACATTAGGAAATAAAGAAGTTATTTAAAAAAGACAACATTTTTTCCCCTAAAAAATCTAAGTTCAAGGGAGGTAATATTGATATTTTTTGTGCTAGAGTTATAAACCTTGTCACATATGATGTGGTTGATGACCAGGAACTTATATTTAAAGTTTGAAGTAAACACCTTAAGAAATAAAGAACATATAGTGAAAAAGCTGAAAAATTTAAATCAGAAATCTTGAAATTCAGGATATGTGTTGCCATAGCAACCAGAATTTTCAACATAGGAAGAAAAGAAATAGATGTGCATAATCTCCAGACTGCCATCTACCCATATTTCAAGTTTCATAAAAATATTTTCAGTACTTTTTGAGTTATCACTGGATCCAGTTTATGTGTTAAATTTGCCATATTTTCAGACTATTTGTTGCCATAGCAACCAGAATTTTCAACATAGGAAGAAAAAAAAAAGACGTGCATAATCTCCATACTGCCATCTATCCATATATCAAGTTTCATAAAAATATTTTCAGTACTTTTTGCGTTATCGCGGGATCCAGTTTTGTGGACGGACGGACTGACGGACTGACAGACAGACAGACGGACAGACAGACAGACGGACAGACGGACGGAGGGTAAACCTAAAGTCCCCTCTGGTTAAACCGGTAGGGGACTAAAAATATTCTTGAACAATTTGCTGCTATTTTATAATCTGTTGAACAATGATTTTGTGAAATGCATGTCAAATAGTAACAAGAATGATCCATAATCACATGTGTTGCCTGATGATAGGCCATTGCATGTTGCAGCTACTGTGTAGGAGAAACAAAAATTATAAAAGGTCATAACTCAGCCAAATCATTTAACCAGAAAACTTATTTAATATGCGCAAGTATTGAGGTACCAATCAAACCTATTAAGTTTCATTTAATTTGCATTTTTAGTACATTTGTAGCAGTCTAATTGGTATATCATTCATTATCATAAAATAATTTTGGTATAATATTCATTATCATAAAATAATTATTTTATTGCTTGATAAAATCACTGTTTGTCAGTCGGATGCGCATCATTATATCACTCCGGCTACACCCTCATGATATAATTCCCCACATCCAAACTAACAGTGATGTTATTGAGCAATAAAATCACAGTTTTGGATATATTATTTCTTAAATAATTTTGGTCTAACATTCATTTTTATAAAAAAAATAATTTTGCTAAATCTTTCATCATCATAAGGTAATTTTGGTATATCATTCATTATTGTAAGTAATTTTGGTATATCATTCATAATCATAAATAATGTTTGAATTTCATTTATTCTCATAAAATAATTTTGGTATAATATTAATTTTTAAAAAGTAATTTTGGTTTAACATTCATTATTATAAAGTAATTTTGGTATACCATTCATTATTATAAAGTAATTTTGGTATACCATTCATTCTCTTGGTTGTAAGTAATGCCCGAGCCTTGTCTGCCAGCTCGCCTCTCAATGTGCTGCCTAGCAACAGAATATCAATGGCTTCCTGTTTAGTGTTGTCAAGGAAGTTGTTCTGTATTGTACGTGAGGCTGATCTTGCGGCATCTGATGTCTGGCAAAAAAATATACAAATTTTACATAATTATCATAAAAACTTTCAATGTTTATCTTCCAATAAGGACAAACTGAAAGTGATGTATAGTATGTTTAATGTTAAAAAATCAGTCAAGTGTTGCAGTTCAGATACAAATATCTGTTTCTAGGGTATCTGCCGCTGTCTGTGATCCACAAACACTTGTCAGAGCATTTTTTCTTGCATATTTTACCATATTTGAAATAGTCAACCTTTACAATATTTTGAATAGTTCACTTTAATGAAATATTTTTTTTTAAAAGACAGCTAAAGGACATCATCCTGGGTACAAAGTATCATTCATAAAGATGCTAAAATGAGGTGTTTCAAAGCATGTGTGGTATCACTCCGCTATGGATGCTGCTAAAATAAGGTGATTTCAAAGATTGAATGATACCACTCTGCTATTGATGCTGCTAAAATGAGGTGATTTCAAAGCATTTGTGGTACCACTCCGCTATGGATGCTGCTAAAATGAGGTGATTTCAAAGCATGTGGTACCACTCCACTACAGATACTGCTAAAATGAGGTGATTTCAAAGCATGTGGGGTACCACTCCACTATGGATGCTTCTTAAATGAGGTGATTTCAAAGCATTTGTGGTACCACTCCGCTATGGATGCTGCTAAAATGAGGTGATTTCAAAGCATGTGTGGTGTCACTCCACTACAGATACTGCTAAAATGAGGTGATTTCAAAGCATGTGTGGTACCACTCTGCTATGGATGCTGCTAAAATGAGGTGATTTCAAAGCATGTGTGGTGTCACTCCACCATGGATGCTGCTAAAATGAGGTGATTTCAAAGCATTTGCGGTTCCGAACCTACAGGGCTAAGAGGCAAGTGGTTTAAAGTCAACAACCTTAACCACTCCGCTATAAATGCTGCGAACATAATGCTGGTATATCATGGTTGAAAATATACTGAAGTTGAAATTTGAGAGAGATTTTAACATCATTTCAGATTTTTGATTGGATGTTAAAAATTTAAACTGATTTTCCTATACTGGTAAACAGTGTTACCATGCCATCATGGTCAAGGATATACATGTGCAACTCACCTTTGACCTTCCACCACCTAGGGCCCCTGTTCCTGCATAGATCATACTAATGTGGTCACCATTGAGCACCCAGATCTGTTTATATATCTCAGTGAATCGGGACACCATCTGTGGTTTGTTGGAAATATCCAGACTCTCTAATTGTTTCAGTAATATCTGACAAATAAAACAAAACATTACCTAATGTCTTCTATAAATACTAATTTCTAATTTACAACTGTTTAATTGAACCGCTGAAACCCTGTGCATGCGCAATGATGAAATGAACTGTTGACCGGTCAACATTTTAAACTGTTACGCCTCTGTCAATGTCATCAGGTATTTTCATTAACGTCACTTGACACTAATCAGTTATCAAACGTCGATAAGCTCAATGTACGGCAGTGATTCTTCTGTAGGGTTCAGTTGTACAGCAAGATAAAAGTGCAAATATTTTACTATAAATATGGCTTTTCGTCGAGCAAGACATTACTTAATTATTTAGTTCAATATAAATGTATTCATGAGCCAGTCAGTAGTGAAATTTTATGTTTTGATAACATTTTATTTCAGAAACATTCAAACAACCATTTGAGTCATAGAATATGTAGCTTTAACTTTAAACAAGAATATCTGTTGAAAGAGAATCTAACTACTTATAGGATTCAAATCTAAAACCCCAAATACCAATCGCAGCTTTTCGACCCTTTACGGCAGTCTTCAGAGAAGGACCTCGAACACAATAGTATGAATACACAAAACGGATACGGTATTTCGGTCTAACTTACGCTAAGAAACTAAAAATGTAAACAAATAGTAATTTAATGCTTGGAGTTTTTGACAAGTTTATTTCCAATATATCAAGGAAATGCCCATCTTTATAATAAGTGAATTCATAAATACAAAAGCAAACAATACATTATTTGTATATTTATTATTCTGGTTGTAGAAACCGAATGTACAAAGTACCAACTTCTTGACATTTAGATGCATTTGTTTAAAATTGTATGTAAGTGGGCATATTTAAATTAAAAATAGTTGTCAGACATATTTTCAATCATAATTGTACCGAAACAGACTAATTTTTTTTAAAAATTCTTTGGATGTCAATTATATGTACATTCTTTTTACATTTTCTCTCTCATTATGATTTCATCTGACACCATGTGGTAGAATTACTTTCACTCCGTATTATTTCCGAAGTTATTATAGATAATAGCCGAGGACGTTCTGATTGCCCAAATGTTTAACCCCCTACACCACACTTTATCTAACATACCTGTAGACCTATCATGCATTGTGTTGCGTTAGTTCTGTCCAAACAATCTAGACAATTTGTCCGCACTGTACCGGTTTGATACCTGTGATGAAAAAAAGACTTACTTACATTCTTTTATGATTTATAAACAGTAGTATGTAGTAGTTGTAGCTAAGATTTGGTCGTACAACCAATCTTAGGCTTACATCACCTTTCATCAACATGTCAGCAGGAAAGACGTCGTAAATTCACAGATACATGTTACTGATTTTACCGCGTAATGTCGCACATTCTCTTTTGTGATGTCATCACATTAATTGTCAATTTTGAAATATAGGTCTGTTAAATTTTTCTAATTTTGTTACGTTTTTAACATAATGTATGATGACATAGACTTTCTTTTCCTAAAGAAGCAAAATTTATGCATGACAGCATATATTTCTGCCTGTAATTCCATTTATTTATGATTTTCTTTTCATCTGCATTCAGATATAGTCCGGCTACGGAGAAAATTGTATTTTATAAATTTCACTAGTGGTTTATCAGAATATAATCATCTGATATATTACAATAAAACACTGGAAATAAAATGTTGTTACACACCTTTTAACTCAAAACATAGCTTTTTGTTGATGATTTTTTAATTATTAAATGCGGCATTGCGAAAATATGTGACAAATGAAAAATTGTCTGTTTTCTGCAGGAACTTTCACAATTGTTTCACATAGGTGTTGATTTCAATAACATTAGATTTAATATCTTTTTTTTTAATACATGTATTTAAAGACTGTTTTTCATCGGCTAACAGATATCGTAAAACAAAGATTTCAAATTTATGATTTACAGCAAAAATCAGATATAAATTTTTGAAGACAACATTTACTGGTATTTATTTGACTTCTCCAAAATAATGTTGGTAAATATCTTTTAAGTTCTTTTCACAAACTTCTTCGAGAATAACAAGAGCTGTCGGTAGGACAGCAACGCTCGACTATTCTAGTGCTTGATAGTAAAAAATAATGCTTGATACAGTTACCTACTCCTGTTTACAGGTTGGGGTAATGATGGTGAACAAGTGTGCAAAGTTTCAAAGCCATATGTCAATGGACTTTGAAAATATTTGAACTATTACAAAAACTTTAACGTAAATTCTAAGTCGAAAAAGGGGCATAATTCTGTCAAAATGCTTAATACAGTTATCTACTCCTGTCTACAGGTTGGGGTCATGATGGTGAACAAGTGTGCAAAGTTTCAAAGCCATATGTCAATGGACTTTGAAAATATTTGAACTATTACAAAAACTTTAACGTAAATTCTAAGTCGAAAAAGGGGCATAATTCTGTCAAAATGCTTGATACAGTTACCTCCTCCTGTTTACAGGTTGGGGTAATGATGGTGAACAAGTGTGCAAAGTTTCAAAGCCATATGTCAATGGACTTTGAAAATATTTGAACTATTACAAAAACTTTAACGTAAATTCTAAGTCGAAAAAGGGGCATAATTCTGTCAAAATGCTTGATACAGTTACCTCCTCCTGTTTACAGGTTGGGGTAATGATGGTGAACAAGTGTGCAAAGTTTCAAAGCCATATGTCAATGGACTTTGAAAATATTTGAACTATTACAAAAACTTTAACGTAAATTCTAAGTCGAAAAAGGGCATAATTCTGTCAAAATGCTTGATACAGTTACCTACTCCTGTCTACAGGTTGGGGTCATGATGGTGAACAAGTGTGCAAAGTTTCAAAGCCATATGTCAATGGACTTTGAAAATATTTGAACTATTACAAAAACTTTAACGTAAATTCTAAGTCGAAAAAGGGGCATAATTCTGTCAAAATGCTTGATACAGTTACCTCCTCCTGTCTATAGGTTGGGGTCATGATGGTGAACAAGTGTGCAAAGTTTCAAAGCCATATGTCAATGGACTTTGAAAATATTTGAACTATTACAAAAACTTTAACATAAGTGGTTACGCCGACGCCGACGCCGACGCTCGGGTGACTACAATAGCTCTACTTATTCTTATCGAATAGTCGAGCTAAAAAGCATAAAAAGTGCAAGTCAGGGACATAATGACAATGTGCGTCCTGAAAGAAGCATGGCTTTAAATATAACGGGTCCAGATGCTGATTTTATGTGTATGGATGCAGGAATCTTGCGTAACCCTGAATAATACCTCTTTACTTCACCATTGTCACTGTAGAAGTACTCAAACTTGTCAATGTATTTGGCTAGTTGCTGTCTCAGTTTCTCAAGATTTTTCAAGTTTCCACCACGGCACTCTGTATGGTAGTCAAACATAATCAGGGGAATGTCTAGAGCAAATCTTGATGCTTTATGGTGAGCCTACAATATATATATATAAAACCCATTCTCTTATTTTACTTTGCCTTTTTACAATTATATCTCTTCTTAGCAAGCTAACTAAGTTGGGAGAATCTTGCTACCTAAGTTCACAGAAATTAAACTAATAAGTTCACTGAAGATATCTATAAAATTTAATTTCAATTTACTCCACAGAATCAAGCCTCAACCAAATTTCAAAGACCTAAAGCTCTGTCAATTGAGCTTAATGTCAAATAATTAACAAGGGAAGTAACCCTTACCAGAAACGCCTGACTGAGCATATGTTCGCCTTCTTTACTACCAAGTAGGTTCACGATCACTTGTTCTCCATACTGTTGTTTTATAGCAGCTAGGTGCCGTTCAAATGCTGGAGCGCTTGTTTCGTACCCTCGGGACATCTTTACCTTATGAGAACCCACTTGGATACCAGGCTGTTCCCAGAACAAAGGTACAGATCCTCTGGTTTGAAGAAATGATGCTATCTGATTCTCTAGAAATATAACCTGAAAAAAAATTACTATGCCACTGCATTAATATAACAGAATTAGATTTTTTGTTACTATACAATTGAACTTTGCCATAATAAAGAAGTGTCTTGGAAATTTGAGAGTCAATGTCATATTTCAGCATGTCAAATGAAAGTCAATGTGCAGATGTGTCTAATGTAATTCCCCTTCCCAATAAATTCATATTTCTTCCCTGTTTTTCATTTAAAGCCTCACCCCCTCCCATCAATTAAATCTATAATACTTATGAGTATTGTCCCATTTTCTTCACAACAACACAAATATCCCATACCTGAGGGCCCCAGCCCAAGTCCCCTAAAAGGTAATAAGGGTCCTGAGCTATCTCTAAATTAAAAATCTGTGCTTTAAAGGGAGATAATCTTTCACTATCTTTCTCTACACAGAGCCAACCCATTTAGTAAACAAAAAGTTCTGTTGATTTAGAAAGGTTAACTAGAGGATATTTGCTGCGCCACTCATGAAATAAACCTTTTGGTGCTCACTCGGTGAAATATATTCCAATCTTACACTAAACTTAAGAAATTTTCTTTTATTATATGCAAATAAAAGTTTAAAAAGACACTTTAACCTAATACTAATTGGAAAATGTGCCAAATAATAAATAAAACATGAAGTCATTTACAACGTCACGTCATTAAGTTGGTTTCCAGTACTGTGCACGCTGGTCAGTACTGTGCACGCTGGTATTTTACAGAAACAACGTAACAAGCTTAAATTCAAAACAGTTAAATATATCAAATTGATAATTTCACTGTTTCAAACAGTGAATTATCAGTTTTTTATTTCACTGATATATTTCTATAAACCACCGAAAAGCATGTAATAAATTTCTTTTTTCAAGAAATATTTGTTTGTTTGTTTGATTGGGTTTTATGTCACATCGACAAAGTATAGGTCATATCGAGACGTTCCAGCTTTACTTGTGGAGGAAGACCTCAGTTGCCCCTCCCTGCTTTATTTCAGGCACAAAAGGGCACAAAAACCACCCATGTTTTCCGCTGGATATTCCTCACATGAAATCCAAGTCACTATGGGGGGGGGGGGGGGGGGGGGGGGGGGGGGGGGGGGGGAAAAAAAAAAAAAAAAAAAAAAAAAAAAAAAAAAAAAAAAAAAAAAAAAAAAAAAAAAAAAAAAAAAAAAAGTTTTAAAATTTATGCAAAAGGGAAAAATGGTATTAATAACAGAAAATTTAGTTTTTCTATAAATACCATGATTATTTTCATCTGTGGCATGGAAAATTCCATATTATCGGGTACCACTAGGAAATTTTATTTTAATACCCCTCGATGAAAAATAAATCATGTATTTATAGAAAAAACTTGAATATCCTCTATTTATTATTGTCCAACACATATTGGTTGGGCAATCAAACCTGTTAGTAAAAAGTAAGACATTGGAAATGGTTGAGATAGCCTTTATTGTACAGTGGTACCTGAAGAAAGGTGATCATATAGGTTTCATCATTCAAATAATCCGAGGTGATCTTTAACTAAGGTTTGGCTATGTGGAAAATTTAACATATAAAAGATCAGGATTAATATGCCTGATATTAAGACTCACTTGCTCAGTTTCACAGAAATTAGCTACATGCCCATCATCATTGGTTCCTCTAACGTTGAAGCGGGTACCAGCCCTCTCACAACTTAGACGTGATATAAGACAGGCCTTGGCCTGCCGATGAGCAGCATAAACTGTTCGAATCTCCACCCCTCCACATATAGCCTTGAAGAGCCATGTTGAGCAATCAATGCCAAACCTTTGGAAGTGTACATGCAGCGATCTGTTCCTGAAATGGGAATGTCATATAAAAAAGTTAAACAAATTTACTGGAGGAACTTGTAAATTTATTTAAACTTTTTTCATTCTTTCCCAAATACTGGCAGTGTATTTTGTTATAATCTGGCAGAGTATTTTGTTATAATCTGGCAGAGTATTTTGTTATAATCTGGCAGAGTATTTTGCAAGTTTGAAGTTCCTTCGCCTAAGCATTCTTTAGTTATTGATCGGAAACCGTTTTTATCTACAAGGTCAATGTGACCTTGACCTTTGACCACTTGACCCCAAAACCAGTAGGGGTCATCTACTGGTCATGACCAATCACCATACCAAGTTTGAAGTTCCTAGGCCTAAGTGTTCTTTAGTTATTGATCGGAAACTGTTTTCACCTACAAGGTCAATGTGACCTTGACCTTTGACCCATTGACCCCAAAATCAAAAGGGGTCATCTACTGGTCATGACCAAACACAATACCAAGTTTGAAGTTCCTAGGCCTAAGTGTTCTTTAGTTATTGATCGGAAACCGTTTTTACCTACAAGGTCAATGTGACCTTGACCTTTGACCCCATAATCAATAGGGGTCATCTACTGGTCATGACCAATCACCATACCAAGTTTGAAGTTCCTAGGCCTAAGGGTTCTTAGATTATCACTTGGAAACCATTTGGTCTACGGACGGACAGACAGCCAAATGCAAAGCAATATACCCCCTCTTCTTAAAGTGGGGGCATATCAATTCATCGCTGAATAGGTTCATTATTACACAACTGTATCAGAACAAACTATTTCTATTCTTACCAAAAGAATCTGTTATCCGTCTCATGCTCTTGCAGTTTTCTCTGAGCACACAATGTGAGATCCCACTGATTTCCCGTTGACGACCACGAGAAATAAAAAGTTCGAGAATTAAACAGGTTTCGAACACCAATGATCCTTTCCTCATCATTTGGTCGGTTTTGTAACGAGACAAACTGCGTTGCTGTGATGCAAAATATCTCAGAGTCACTTATTTTACCTACTGAAACACAGCCAGTTACTAGAACTAGGTACAACACATTTTCTTCACCTAAAAAGACAGTAATTAGGAATATAATATATTGTGACATGTCATAAACCGAAATTCTGTAACTTTAAGAATTACAATATCAAAAAAAACTAGAAATGTGTCCATAGGACACGGATGCCCCCTACACGCCACTGTTCTGTCAATCTTATGACTCTAGGTCAAATATTTTTTGGACTACATTGCCACAAGTTGAAAACTAAAAATCAACAAAGTTCCATAATTCTGTTAAATTTGGTCGCAGCAAAAATTCCTTCCTTTACTACCATCTATACATTAAGGTTGTTCATCCCTAGAAGTTTAAGCAAAATCTGCCATCCGGTTTAAGAGGAGTTGCGTTCACAAAATTTCTACATCATAAGTATATAGTGAATAAATCAACAAAGGGCCATAATTCTGTTAAATTTGATCGCAGCAAAAATTCCTTCCTTTACTACCATCTACACATTAAGGTTGTTCATCCCTGGAAGTTTAAGCAAAATCTGCCATCCGGTTTGAGAGGAGTTGCGTTCACAAGATTTCGGAACGTACGGACAGACGGACGACAGACGGACGGACAAGTGCGACGCTATATGCTCCCACTTTGTGGGGGCATAAAAAAAGAACCTGTAAGTTACACAGGCATTATAAACACACAATCAATATACATTGTTAATATGCTTATATGCTACAAACAGAATATTCTGTATATAGTTTATAAGTGAATATTAAGGTTTATTGATAGTTTATCTAACCACTGCCACCAAGCGTGTCACATGACAGTTTGATAATTTTAAAAATAATTTCTAAATATTCATATTATTTTAACTAATTATTTATTCATAAACATTGTTTTATCAATGAGAAAAAACTTAACTGATAGATATAAGCTGCAGATATAAAAACAAATTAAAAAAAAATATAATATATCAGAAATTCTGATATTTGGGGCCCTGTGGGTGGGCAGAGATTTTAAAAAGCTTTAATTAAGGGGGGATCAAATGCGTGGAGATTTACTAAAAAATATTAAAAATATATTTACCTCAAAAGTTCAAAATGAGCACCCCAAGAAGCCATACGCATCAAGAATCTTTGTATATTGCTTCTTTATTGTGTCAGTTTCAAGAGAAGCTGTAAAATAATTGTATGATTTTAAATATCATTAACATCTTATTCTATGTTAATTTAAAATAATCTTGTATCCCTGCCTGTATATGGGATCAGATCCAGTGGGTTTCTGTTTCAACTTCCATAATCTGCATAATACTTCACCAAGGTAACAGTTATTGGTACAACATTTTTGCCCAAGAAACAAAACTAAGAACCATAATTATTTATGCTTTAAAGTTTATACTACACATATTTAGGTTGATCTGTATTCATGAATTGACAGGCAATTGTTGACCAGGGTTATCAGTGTTTTTTCCCTCCGGAAAACAGCACCATTCCCAATAGAAAATAGACAGCAAATTTCCCAATTCATCATTGTCATGACTGATAAATTTCCAGAATAACACTGAAAATTTCCTAAACTAGAAATGTGTCATCATGCCACGGATGCCCCCGCATGCAGCCAAAATTTCAGATGGTGCATTAATTATTTTTTTCATTTTAAGTTCAAAGCCCTTAAAACTTTTCAATGTTAACACAAACCATTTTCATACAATGTTCAAGGCACTGAAATTATTCAGTCTTAACCTTTTAAAAATAGCATATTGCATATTTGTAGCCAAAATAATGGCTAAAAGTATGAGTGCTGAAACTGAAAGTTCAAATTTTTCCAACATTCAGGAAAGATAAGTTTGTCTAAAATCATTGAACCACAACCAAATTCAAACTTAAACTGCTTATTCCTAAGATGTATATATATTATTTTCAAAGTGAAAGGGACATAACTCAGCCAAAAAATCATCAAACCATGACCAAATTCCAACTTGACCTGCCCCATTCCTTTGACATATCCATATGTCAAATTTAAGTTGAATATGTAACACTGTTGGGTAGATAATGAAATAGAAACTGTAAATTTCAATATTATTTCAATGTGAAAAGGGCATTACTCTGCCAAAAATCATTTAACCATGACAAAATTCGAACTTGGCCTGGGCATTCCAAAACATATCCATAATGTCAAATTTGAGTTGAATGTGTTGTACTATTGGGGAGATAAATAAACGGAAACTGAAATTTCATATTACTTTCAAAGTGAAAGGGGCATAACTCTGCCAAAAATCATTGAACCAAGACCAAATTGAACTTGACCTGCGCATTCCTTTGACACATCCATATGTCAAGTTTGAGTTGAATGTGTTGTACCTTTGGGGAGATAAGGTGAACGGAAACTGAAAATTTCATATTATTTTCAAAGTAAAAGGGCATAACTCTGCCCCAAAAATCATTGAAACCATGACCAAATTCGAACTTGACCTGTATTTTTTATGACATATCCGTATGTCAAGTTTGAGTATAATGTGTTGTACCAGTTGGGAAAGATAATGAACGGAAACTGAAATTTCATATTATTTTCAAAGTAAAAGGGGCATAACTCTGCCAAAAATCATCGAACCATGACCAAATTCGAACTTGACCTGTATTTTCTCATGACATATCCATATGTCAAATTTGAAGTTGAATGCGTGCAACCGTTCTTAAGATAATGAACGGAAACTGATGATGACGGAATGACAGAATGACGGAAGGACAGAAGGATGGAAGGACGGAAGGACGGAATGACAGAACAGGGTAACACTTATGCTATGCCCTGGCCATTACATGGCGGGGGCATAAAAATCGGCAACTTTAAAGGTAAACAAAACGGCAATGCCATTGATAAGTGATATACGATAAAAACCAAGTATAACCGCATAAGTGATATTCGTACCCAGTTCATTTCGTACTTTTAGTGTTTACACCTAAACATTATTTATGCACAATTGTAATGATTTGAGTCAAACCAATGGATTTTTTCCCAATCTGTCTGGTACCGGCACCATTCCCAAAGCAGAGGGGAAAAATCACTGGTTATTAGAATTGATTAATGTAATGTTTGTGATTATTTTGTGACAATTTTGTGATTGCGTGTGTAATTGAACAAATTTATGACACTTTATTTATTAAAGCTGTAACGCCATCAAGGCAAAATGTAAGAACAGGGTGCCGCCTTTTTGAAATCCTTGCCGCCATTTTGAAATCCATTTGAGCTAAATATTGGGGCGATTTTGAGCGTCTACATAATTCAGACCTTTGCTAGAAGACGTGCTTATCTTCTATGTCAAATAACACTTCCAGTAGAAGAATGATGTACAAAATCAGAAAATCAATAAACTTATCAATGTTAAGAACTACGGTAATGATGAAAAATATAAAAAATGTTAATTTTGGCAGCACACCACACTTATTGAAGTGCCAGTGAGAATTTTTTGGATATAGTGACTATTGTGGATTTAAATGACTGGTTGTCTTTAAACTGCCTGACTGTTGCACATGGGATGATTTCATTATAGATTTGCAATGTTATGACATATATGTTCTTAACAAAATGTGTTTTCTTTTTCCAGGTTGTGTAGTTTGGGATCAGATTTATCAGGCATATTGCTTGTAGGACATTGATGGCAGAAACTTGAAATTTAGTGTGGAGTGCTACCTTTTACATATCCATTTAGATAAAACAGCACATTAAAGATATTGTTAAAACAACAACTATGATTAGAGATTAATTAAAATGGAGGAAGGTATTTTCCAAACTCCGAAAGCAGTGGTCCCGCTTTGCTTCGCTTTACAGAGCCTAGCCAATCAAATCACTGTGAGGAGTTTGGAGCTTTCCGGAAATATTTGGAGCACTCCGATGAAAGGTTGAACACCATCAATTAATTGGTACAAAATACCTGCATTTTCTTATTTACAAGAGGAAGGAAAGATCTGGTTTACATGTATACTGAACATGTTATGCTAGATATTAAATCAGAAGAGCTTTCCACACCATAGGTAGCACCTAACTTCATAATTGAGCCGCAACAAAATTGACAAATTGTCAAAACCAACATAATGCGTTTGCAACCAGCATGGATCCAGACCAGCCTGCACATCCGTTGCTGTTCGCTTACAAACCCTATAACAAGTAGAGAAACTGATAGCAAACAGCATGGATCCTGATCAGACTGCGAGACTGCGCAGATGCGCAGACTGGTCTGGATCCATGCTGGTAGCAAAACTATGTTGGTTTTGTCGTGATGCGGCTCATATTATATATCTTTACCTTATTATACCTAATTTTTTTAATATATGTAAAAATTGTTTGAAAAACAGTTTAATCATTATAACAAATGTCCCATTCGTCACAGATATATATACAACAGATAGGAAGCTTCAAAAATAGACAATAGTCAGATTCAGACCAACAATCCTTTGAGCGCTTTGGTGTTAATCAGGTTTTCCTGCTAGTCTCCAATTTATACTCTCGTTAAACTTTCGTGATATCTGTAAATTATTATTTACATTGCCAACATGGATTTTCATCGGAGAAATATTTAGGTGGAAAAGTGTGTATTGTAAAATTGTTTTACGATAAATAACTATTACTTATTGTATAAACAGAAAATGCTGGTTAATTTTGTCTGTGTAGCTCCAAGAATTCAATATGGCGGTATTTTGGCTACTTTTACCCAGGATGCATCAAATCTCGGAAAATTCCGCAACATATGAATTATGATAACTTATGTGAACATAATTCTGCCGATATTGAATTTAACTGTGTGACGTCACAGTTTCTTATCCATCTATATTTAGCTCATTGCAATCGTGTTTAAATATAAAAATATTTTTGGTAAGAGTGTTTACAGGGGCGTATCATGTTGGATGGGTGGGGGGGGCAGAATCTGACCCCAAGCGTCTGTGGAAGCTAAAACTCATGACCTCTAGATTAGGAAATCTAATGCCAAAACACATATATACTAAACAGAATAACATGATCCTATAACCTGTTGTGGGTCCGTACTCTCGGTGCCTGAAAGGACATATGAACCCTCATAAATTTAAGCATAGACTACCTAGTACCAACCTACAGTACCTTTAAACAGTTAAAAGATTTATGATAATTATCAAATCAATAAACTAATAAATAATGTTACTGAATGATATCAAATTAACATGGAATTACATAGAATGGTGACTGCATTGCTCTCAAACATCAACGTATCAGCCAAGTTCTTGTTTTCAAGCATAACACTGTAAGGTGGCTCTAATTTGTGATATACCCGAAAACTTCTACTGATCGCAGCCATTTTCGCTTCTTCCTTGTTTGAACGAAATTTTTATCAATATTCTTTAAGAATTGATAGAAATAGAGATTGTTATTCCTTGGATAGCGTGAATGTAGATAACAAATACTCAAACCATGTCTTAGATGCAATAAAATAATCATTTATTGAAATTAAATATATATTACTATTGAAATATCTCGTTCACATTAATTTTATTAAAATGTTTATAGATAGAGAAAATCTATTGGTCAATATTTCTTTATTTATCCAATGAGTGAAACCCTTACATTTTATATTTGGCTCAGTAACAAATATGGCGGCGCCCGTAGTGTCAAATGAAATTTTGTTACAGAAAATCAAATGTTTCGCCATTATATCAAGACTGTCAGTTATTATCTTGCAGGTGTGTAATTGCATTAGGTTATATACTGTAAGAATATATTTCTCATAAATGATGACACGACTGGAACACGATTCAGGACTGAACTGTTCTGGGGTAGGGATTAGGGCTACTGCAGGGGGTAGGTGGTTCCAGTGGTATAAGGTCCTAGGAAAGAATGAGAATTTATTATAGTCTGAGGTTGCTGTAAAAAACCTATAACATAAGGGATCGCCATGGTGTTATGTTCAGGAGGTAGCAAGACACTTCACCCCCCTCAAATTTTGAAGACACTTCACCCCTCAAGACACTTCACACCCCCCCCCCCCAATCAGTAAGACACTTCACCCCTCATCCATTTTTTTTCTTTAAAGAAAATAAGCCAACAACATAATGCTTTTTATATCATATGCTTATTTTAATTATGAGCTGGGACACTTTAAACAAAAATATATGAAAAGATTAGCTAAGAAATATACTTGAAATAATTGAAAATCATATGATTTGAAAATCGTGAGTGTTTAAACACTCTTCATTTTGGGTCATTTATTTACAATTTGAATGATTATTCAGGAAAAACGAAGTGCGGGAATGATCTGAAATTTTGCACAAAGATAAGTGGTCTAAACCTACATGAAATGGTACACTTATCTGGAAAAAATATTTTCAGTCCCATCATGTCAAAAAACCTTAGTGGAGTCCCTTTAATTCATGATCATGGTATTGCCCACTGTTATACAAAGCACTTCCATCCATTAAGTGTTTATTGCATGTCACCTTGTTTATTCAACATGTTGATTGGTTGTTTATTCAACAGTTATCTCATAATTGATTAGATAATTGGATTAAAAAGGTATTATTGTATGAAAATGAAATAAGTGGATAAATAAATAAATAATATAATATTGTATGTAAAATAAATAAATAAACAATATTTTATTAAATTATATTGTTTGAAAAAAAAATGAATATAAAATGAATATGAAAGAATATAAATTAACAAATGAATGAATTATTTATACACTTTTTGTAATAAATAAAAATGAACAATTTGTATTTTCCTTACTTAAAAATGTTGCTAACAAATTAAGTAAACTTACCGGTATCACATTCTATGTGTTGCCAGTTCAATAAATAAATAAATAAATTCATGTTTAGCTTTCAATTCATTAAACAAGATACTGTCAATTAAAGACACAAAGGAAGTGTGAAAGAGATTACATGTAAAATACTGTCTTAATATATATCAAAGTAAAATTCACACATAAGTTCACACACTTCAATAGAAAGATTATTCTACAATTAGTCATATCACTTTCACTTTAATTAAAATATATTAAAAATAAAATTAAAAATAAAGAATTTACTTATTAATAACTGTGATATGAGCCTTATTTTAGGGCAAATTCAACAATTTAAATCCATTGTCTTTGGTCAATTACATGATAAAATAATAATAAAATATGTTAAAACAATAAACATAGGGCCTACTCAATCACTATTGAATACATTTAACATTTTCTACATAAATAGTTGTTACACAAAATAAAAAAATTGGGGGGTGAAGTGTCTCAATCAAATTTCTTAAAATGAGGGGTGAACTGTCTGAGGGGTGAAGTGTCTACAAAAAAGGGCCTAGGGTTAAGTGTCTGGGGGGGTGAAGAGTCTGTAAACCGTTCAGGAGAGGTGTCAAATATTCTTCTATGGGTATAGCAACCAGACCATGTTCAGAATCTTATTGAAAAGGAATAACCTAGCATATATACGTCTGAGTTCCAGTTTTCTAAGCTTAAGGGAGTATAGCCAAAAGTTCTAGTCGTACGGGAGTCAAGCGTGTCTTGCCTATTGTGTTGCGGATAGCCGTACGCTATTTTTTCAATATGAAATAAAAGCAAGTCAGTAACTTGCACATCTAAAGTTACATTTTCACAAAGAATGATAATACATATTTTTTCTAAACTTCTAAATAATTTTACAAATGATATTCGATCATTTATATTATGTCACTGAAAATTTCACTGATAAGTAAAAAAAAATTACATAATTTTTAAACTAGCTTTGAAAAAGAAAATGTTTGGCTTGTTTCTTTAATTTATCTTTACTTGAACCATAATCTTTTGAAATAATTTGCTAGCTGATGCAAAACATCAGTAATATGCTGTGTCATGTATACCTAAAATAAAGGCATCCAGGGAAGGGGGCTTTCAAGAAATATGACACAGCAGTAACCCCAACTACATGCATGTGGAAGAAAAGTTATGTTGGCTTATTTTGGGGCTTTAAATAATGAGATTGTTTTTATTCTATAATGATTCTATTTTCAGATTTTGTTTAACACAGTTTTACCAGATCATGATGCAGCCGTATTTAATCCTGGGAGACATGTTCAAACAGCAAATTCTCAAACAAGTTTGGATCATATTGTTACATTTCTCCTTGGAGGTTTGAAAAGATGGGACGGGGTGTATTTCACTCATGTTGCAGAGCATGGTTACACTTATGAAAACACACTTGCATTTTTTCCACTTTTTCCGCTATTTGTCAGAACCTTTGCAAATTCAGTGTTGTTTCCATTACAGTTCTTAATGAGTTTTGAAAGTGTAATACTTATTTCATCAACACTAGTTAATACATTAATATTCATGAAAACGGCAGAAATCTTATTCAAACTAGGCAAGCTTGTAACTTGTAATGACACCGTAGCATACACAGCTTCCTTACTATTCTGTATAAATCCAGCCTCTATTTTTATGTCAGCTGTTTATTCAGAGTGCATTTTCTCATATCTAACTGTCACAGCATTATTGAAACTAGAAGAAGGCAGAAAATTCTCAGCTGCGATATACTTTGCTTTTACTTGTTTAACACGTTCAAATGGCTTGATCAATCTCGGCTATTTAGCGTACATTCTAGTCAAGAATGCTTTGCAGACTTTAGGAAGATTGTATAAGGCAGTTATGGTGAATGCGAGTATGCTAATGACAATTCCGTGGATATACTTCAGTACAACGATTGTACCTTACAGCTTGCTGATAATGATAAGTGTTCTTCCTTTCATCATTTACCAGTATTATTGTTACCAGCTATACTGTATGAAGGAGTATACTTTAGAAATACCAGACCATATTATGCAGTATGCAAGAACAGAAGGATTGAAGTTACCAAGTGACAAGTCATCTGAGTGGTGTAATGCTTCTCTCCCTTTAGCTTACAGGTAAGCCATCTGAGTGGTGTAATGCCTCTCTGCCTTTAGAACACTTATTCTTCTCAGTTTGAGAAATAGACTTTCTCCTGCTTTGTATTTGGAATAAGAGAGGGAAAGGTTTTGTTTTGGAAGTACTAAAATATGTATGGAAGTGTTTATTTGCCTGGCATAAGGTGATTTAGAAAAGTTCCTGAGACATTCAGCAAACGGTTATAAAATTGTTAAACATAAATTTTGTCATGGAGAAAAAAATAGATTTAAATTTTAAAATATTTTAACTAATTTATTTTTGTATGTATCATAATGATAATGTTCACTTTACAGAATAATCTTTATTTTTTAGGTTGTCTTTTTCAAAGAAAAAGTTAATTAAGATATTATGATCACTGCATGGTCATTGTCTTCTTTGTGCAATTTTAAAGGTATCAAACCAAAACTTGGAGTACTTGTCAGTTGATAATCATGATAAGATTTGGCTGTAAGACCAGGGGTATATTTTGAAAGCAACATTTTAAAGTTATATCCTTTCTTAACTTAGAATTTTTTCATAATTGTCTTTTAAATATAATGATGTCAGCACTATGAATGATATAAACATCATCCTGAATAGGTACATTTGTAAGATAATAGATGATATTCTAAAAGAAGTAGTTTTGAGTTATGCTCCCTTTTATAACTCACCTGTCACAAATTGACATGATGAGCTTTTGTGACTGCTTTATTGTCTAGAGTGTGTCTGTCCGTCCGTCCGTAAACTTTTACATTAAACATCATCTTTTCATTAACCGCTTAGCAAATTCCATCAAAACTTCACAGGAATTTTCCTTTAGCGGTCACCTTTAAAAATTGTTCAAACAATTTTATTCCAACTCTGGTTGCCATGGTAACCAAAAGAAAAAACTTAAAATATCTTCTTTTAAAAACTTAAAGAGCTAGAGCTTAGATGTTTGGCATGAAACATCTCCTAGTTAGTGTCTACCAAGTTTGATCAAATAAAAGCCCTTGGTTCAAAATTGGCCTCATCCTGGGGTGTCATTAATTTTTAACCAGGTTTTCCGCAGGAAAAAACTGGTTATTAGATTGAGGTATGTCGGCAAACGGGCGGGCGGGGCGGGCGGGCGTAAACAATTTCTTCTGTGCGCAACTCCTCCTACATTTCTCAACGGATTTTGACCAAACTTTCACAGAAGCTTTGTCATCAAGTGCCCTGGCGCATATTGTCGGGGTTTTGCGATTAGATAATATTTGACCTAATTATGGTCCTTTGTTTTTTTTTCCTTATATAAAATATATAGTGAACAATTTCTTCTGTGCGCAACTCCTCCTACATTTCTCAACGGATTTTGACCAAACTTTCTCAGAAGCTTTGTCATCAAGTGCCCTGACACATATTGCCAGGGTTTTGCAATTGGTATATATTTGACCTAATTATGGCCCTTTGTTTTTTTCCTTATATAGAATATATAGTGAACAATTTCTTCTGTGCGCAACTCCTCCTACATTTCTCAACGGATTTTGACCAAACTTTCTTAGAAGCTTTGTTATCAAGTGCCTGGCACATATTGTTGGGGTTTTGTGATTGGATAATATTTGACCACATTATGGCCCTTTTGTATATTTTTTCCTTATACAGAATATATAGAGAACAATTTCTTCTGTGCTCTACTCCTCCTACATTTCTCAACGGATTTTGACCAAACTTTCTTAGAAGCTTTGTTATCAAGTGCCTGGCACATATTGTCGGGTTTTGTGATTGGATAATATTTGACCGAATTATGGCCCTTTGTATATTTTTCCTTATACAGAATATATAGTGAACAATTTCTACAGTGCGCAACTTCTCCTACATTTCTCAATGGATTTTGACCAAACTTTCACAGAAGCTTTGTCATCAAGTGCCTGGCGCTCACTAAAGTCCCATGTTTCTTCCAAGACATCATTCAAGTATTTTTTAAAATTGTGAACATACTTTTCTTGATATCGCACAAAACACCACACGCCAATATTTGTTGACAAAAGAAAATGACAAGAGACGCAAAAATGCAAAAATTAAGCAAAAATAAAGTACTGTTTACCTTTCTAAAACATTTGGGGAAAAAAAGAGCGAATAGACAACATAAAATTTCTCAATCATTTTTTGTTTGAGGAATATTAAAAAAGCCATAATTCCTCCTAAAAGTTCAATTAAAAACAAATGCCCCTTCATGACAAAGCTTCTGTGAAATATTTTGCTGAAAACCTGGTTGCATCGCATTGCGATGTTCCTTGTCCTTATATGCAACTATGCATATAGTGAAAACTTAAAAACTCTTCTTTTAAAAAAAAACCACAAAGAGCTAGAGCTTAGATATTAAGCATGGAACATCTTTTAATGGTTGTCTATCAAGTTTGATCAAATAAGAGTCGAAATTGGTGCCTCCTCAGGGGGGTCATTGACTTTCCTAATATGTACACATCTTTTGGAACTGTTGTTTTCCCATAGAGCAATCAGAAATGTTTTTACAAATGTACTTTTTTAGATACAAATATGAACTTTGTGATATCTGTTTTAGATTTAGATTTTATATCTGCTTTTGTTTATAGTTCACAATATTACTTGTTTCTTTTATATTCAGGTGAGCGATGTCAGGGCCATCATGACCCTCTTGTTGAAACTATATTTTTATGAAATTGCCTGTTTAAAGTAGGTTGGTTCCAAAACTGTCAAAGCTATCAACATGAAACCTAAAACATGACATGGAACAAAGAACATTTGTTCCACAAGGTGCATTAAATGTTTCCTGAAAGCAATATTTTGTAAGAGTTATGCTCCTTTTAAGCTTAGATTGTTTATGAAAATGTGCTATTAACAGATGAGCCTTAACTCTGCGCACAGTTCTCAATGTTCTGTAAAAGTATGCTTTATTCAACAGTTACTGAAAAAAAATGAATGATAAACTATTTTCACATATAAACATGTATATAATATACATGTACATGTATATATATTTCTCTTTTATTTTAGGAAATTGGATACTGTATCTTATAAACTATAATAATAATGATTTGATTTTTCTTACATATTTTAGTTATGTACAATCGCATTACTGGGAACAGGGTTTTTTGAGATACTGGGGGCTGAAGCAGATACCAAATTTTATTCTCGCTGCGCCAGTGACCATTCTTGTCTTTTTACTGACTGTCCACTATTACAAGAACAACAGGTTTGTACTTCACAAATTTCAGATGAATGAATTTATTATGGAAATACATGTATATTCAATATATACAGTAATCTAACTGATACAACGATAACAAAGTATTAATGAAACATCATGGTGTATCCATGAGAAGAGAATGTCATTATGGTAGCCAGGTAAAATCCCAGACAACATGTTCAGGGCCATCCACATCCTTCTTTTTGTGTCGCCTTGAAAAGGCGTCACATATAGGGGTTACATTTGTCATTGGCAACATTGTTGTTGTCGGATTGACTCCAAACTTGGTATGCATAATTCTTTCAATAACTCGAATTGCTGTGTACAAGAACCGGTACTCTGCACTACATAAGTTTTGAGTTATTGCCCTTTGTTAATTTTCATACTTTATTTTTGTCCGGGCCATTTCTAATAAATTATAAAAGCCTCTAGTTCATATTTAACCTCCTATCCTAAAGTATCCTCGGTATTTACCATATACATGTATTAAATGTAGTATATACAGAATGTGTACCGTGGGTTCCGACGATGTTTTAAAGCTGCATTAATACACATGAGAAAAAAAAAATAGTTTTAAAAATTCAAAAATATGCAATGTTTTCAGATTGTAAGAAAAGTGAAAAGATTCAAGGAATAATTTATATGTTATATCCTATTGATGACTGATTTTGCTGTATTTATCACCACATTTCTACTGCTTGAGTTGACCTGTGCAGAAAGTGCTGTTTCTGCATATTTAGACCTTTCTTTGGTAGTTTACATGGATTGTAAGGCCTGTTTGCTGTGCATAGATAATTCATTTACTTTCTTTGTTCACTTCACAATATTTTACTCTAAAATGCATTTTCAAATTTTTCATGAAAGTCAGCATGCATTTGTAGACTTTCAGATTTAAGATACAGTCCAGCTTACCTTTCAAACAAATGATTTCTTACATTTAAGAGAAGGAAAGCTCAAAACTTTTTATGTCACAAATTCTCTTTTGGAGACATTTCAGGATTTTTTTTTTTTTTTTTTTTTTTTTTATTTATTTATTATGCAAGAAGATATGGATTAAAATATTATAACTGATCTATATATATTTAATACAGGTTACTGTTTTGTTTTATTCATGCTGTGTTTTTGAATAATTCTGCCAGAAACTTCAAGGCTAATTTTAGCGGTGTGAAATTTGTTTATGAAAGTGTGAAAAACATTATTTTTTGAGGTCCAGCCAAGGTTTCTGTAGTGTCTGTGAGAAATAAAAAAAATCCAGTAAATGCCCTCTCAGATTTTGTTTTGTGAAAGATATTGTACTTTATATTTGTTATAAAAAAGGACAATATTCTTTACCTCATTTTCACAGGTGTCTGAAAGGATACACAAAGGTACACTATAGGTCTTCCTCCACCAGTAAACTGGAAAGAACAGTTGTAGCCATATGACCTTTGCCTTGTTTGTGTGACATTAAACCAAAGCCAAAAATAATTGTACCCAGATATGAAAAGCAATAGACTGGGAAATGTTCTTCAACCCGTCTATGAAAGAAACACAGGTCTTTAAAGGGGAGATCATTTAGTGAGGGGAAATCCCTTTAAAATTTCTTTTCAGGGCTGACATTATTGACAGAATTAAAAAAATTTTTTTAAGGGTTTACATAGTTAAAAAGTTTAAAAAATTTTTTCTTTAAATTTTAATTTCCATTTTAATAATTTTTTAAACTTTATCAGGTCATATGTTTTGACCCCCTTGGGCTAGATGAGGGGGTTTCTGCCCAAAAAAGGAGAAAAAAAAAATGGGCCCCTATTTTAAAAAATAGAAGGGGGAAACTACTGCCATATTTTTATCATTGGGCCCCAAATCCTTTCTGTGTTTGGATTGTTTTTTATCCATGTCCAGGTAAGAATTTCTAAAAAGTGCTAAAGTAATGTAATGATTTTTGTGCCCCCTTGAAAAAGGGTTACTTTTGTTGGTGGCGACGTTGTTGGCGTCCCCTTAGGTTTAGGTTTGTCTGGAGCATAACTCAGTCACTTTATGTGGGATTGACTCCAAACTTGGTATGCATGCTTCTTTCGATAACCCAAAGTGCAGTGCATAAGAATCCTTACTCTGCACTTCTTAAATTTTGAGTTATTGCCCTTCGTTAATTTTCATACTTTATCTTTGTCAGGGCCATTTCTTATTAACTATAAAAGCTATGAACTTGAAACTTCACAGAATGATAGATCTCGTTAAGAATCAGTGCAGTGAACAAGAAAAGTTACTCTGCCCTTCTTATTAGCTCAACAGAGCCGAAGGCTCAGGGTGAGCTATTAGTATCAAAAGGGGGATGCTCCGGCGTCCATCATTCGTCGACATGCGTCAATAATCGTCTTCTTCTCTGAAACTACTAAGCAGATTTACTTCAAATTTAGTCTGTAGCATCCTTGTGACAGTCACACTTAAATTTGCTCATGTCATTCTAATTGGCCCCTTTTAGGGGTCAGCAGAGCTAAAAATAGAAAAACCTTTAAACATCTTCTTCTACAAAACTAATGGATGGATGATCACCCAACTTTGTCTGTAGCAATTTTGTGTAGTCTTTTATCAAGTTTGCTCATATTAATTTGATTGGCCCCTTTTAGGGGCCACTAAAGCTAAAAATAGAAAAAAACCTTCAAACATCTTTTCCTATTGAAATAAATGATAGATGATTACCAAACTTTGTCTGTAGCATTCTTGGGTAGTCTTTTATCAAGTTTGCTAATATTATTTTGATTGCTCCCATTTAGGGGTGGCTAAAGCTAAAAATAGAAAAACCTTTAAACATCTTCTACTTCAGAACCAATTGATGGATAATCACCAAATTTTGTCTGTAGCATTCTTTGTAACTCTTTTATCAAGTTTGCTTATATTAATTTGATTAGCCCCTTTTAGGGGCCACTAAAGCTTAAAATAGAGAAAAAACCTTCAAACATCTTTACCTATTGAAATAATTGATAGATGATTACCAAACTTTGTCTGTAGCATTCTTGGGTAGTCTTTTATCAAGTTTGCTCATATTAATTTGATTAGCCCGTTTAAGTTAAAGCTTAAATGCCCCAGGTCATGGCATTTCTTCAAATTATTGTTTAAACATGTTCTATGCCCAAATTTAATATTAGAATATATTGACATTCCAACCATGAAAAGCAGTTGTTTCTGGTGAGTGACTCAGGGCCATCATGGCCCTCTTGTTGTCCCCCATTTTTTCGAAGAAAAAAAGGGGATATAGAAATAGGCTCCGTCCGTCTTTCCGTCCGTCTGTCCGTCCGCACTACCGAATAAGGATAGGGGGCCATCTAACTGTAAACAGAACAAAAGAGAAGAATAGAGTTCATTCGGTAACAATAGAGTAAGGGGCCATCGGCCCTCTATTAAACAATAGAAAATAACAAAAGAAATGGCCCCTTATTCCATTTCGGCCGGACGTCCGTCTGTCTCTCCGTCACACTTTCGTGTCCGGTCCATAACTTTGTCATTTATGGAAGGAATCTGAAATAACTTGGCACAAATGTTTGTTATAATAAGACGATGTGTCATGCGCAATAACCAGACCCCTACCTCCAGGGTTAAGGTCGCACTTGCTCATTCAAGGTCAACATTGTCTATTTGAGGGTATATCTCGTGTCCGGTCTATAACTTTCTTATCTTTGAAGGGATTTTGTAAATACTTGCCACAATTGTTCACAATATTGAGATGATGTGTCATGCGCAACAATCGGTCACCAACCTCCAAGGTCAAGGTCACACTTGGAGTTCAAAGATTACCATAGTCTGTTATAGGGTATGTTTTGTGTGCGGTCCATAACTTTTTCTTATATCAAAGTATATTGAAAATACTTGGCACAAATAGTCACTATAATAAGACGATGTGTCATGCGCAACACCAGCATCCCTACCTCCAAGGTCAAGGTCACATTTTGAGGTCAAAAGTTAAAATAGTCTTTTAATTTGGGGTATATATTGTGTCCAATGTAGAACTTCTTCATAGTTCAAGGGATTTTGAAATAGCTTGGCACAAATAATCACAATAATAAGATGATATGTCAAGTACAACACCTGCACCCCTACCTCCAAGGTCAAGGTGACACTTAGAGGTCAAAATAAGAGAGTCTATTATATGGTTTATTTTGTGTCCCGTCCATAACTTCTTCATAGATCAAGGGATTTTGAAAATACTTGGCACAAATAGTCACAATGATAAGATGATATGTCATGCGTAACACCAGTGTTCCTACCTCCAAGGTCAAGGTCACACTTAGAGGTCAAAGCTTAACATGATAGATTTTTAAATTCAGTGTTTCATTTTATTTTTCTAATAAATTTATTGTTGCATTTGCAGATCTAGCATTGATTTTATGCTTCATATAAAACTTCCCTGAGGCGGGGGACGTTGGTAACTCTGTTACAAATTCTTGTTTTTTTTTAGTTATTGCCCTTTGTTAATTTTCATTCTTTGTTTTTGTTGTGGGCCATTTCTCATAAACTAGAAAAGCTATGGACTTGAAACTTCATGGGATGATAGATCTCATTCAGATAAACTGCAGTGTTCAAAAACCGGTACTCTGTTTCTTAGCTCCAGCAGGTGAGGTGGTCTTGACCATGTTGCTGCCATAATTTTTTAACACAGGTGGTTAGCCGAAATCATCTTTCCTGATTCAGTGCCATATGACCTAAATTATGTTGGTGTGCCATAAAACCAAACAATCTAACACTATAAACAAACAAATATCCTTGTAAGATACCGGTATAATAAACTTGTTTATTTTCAGGTTTTAACAAGACTCCTCTTCTCATCCACTCCTGTGCTATACTGGTATGCTGCGTACCTTGTCCTCGGAAATATACCAAGACAAAAACAGTACAATAAATACGACATCACACATTGGTCCATAGTGCCAGTAGAGAAACCAGATTACCTCAGTAGAAACTGGAAAAATCTAGTGACAAATTGCATTGAAAATTTTACTTGCCAACAATTTGGCGCCAAATGTGTGATTGTGTATTTCTTAAGTTATTTTGTAATAGGGATAGCATTGTTTTCAAACTTTTTACCATGGACATGATCGTATTAGAACTGTTTATACAAGCTGGTTATCTATCTCATTTTTTTACAATGTTTTTTTTTTTGACCATTTAGCTGTGAGGTTGAATTAATGTTGTCTGGAATTCGTCGTCAAATTAGGGGTATAAAACTTTTTCTGTTGGTCGAAGCTTTAAGGTGCACTACCTGTATTTCATGGTTTAATACATGTACCATAAATCAGTGCAACACTAACTAGTTGTAGCTTTATCCCCGAATTAACTGGGAATTTTCCGATATGTCATCTAATAACAAATCAATCTACTGCTTTTTATTGGCTTGATGATATCATATGATAAAAATAATCTAACATTTTATATTCCCTGTTATTTTATATTTTCACTTTTATTTTGTCATTCATTTTTTTTCTATAAATACAGGATTTATTGTCAAGGAAGGGTACGAAAATATTTGTTTTACAAGTACATGTAGCTATACTGTAGCTGCAAGTGAAGTATTATCATTTCATATCAAAATAAGGAAATAAATACTATATTTTAGAAAAATGAATCAGTTTATTATATTGTTTTCCCTTTTAGACCATACAATCCTGAAATTTTGTGTATTATCTGAATTTAAAAGTAAGAAGTCCAGCAAAACACCAGTGAAAATATGGAATGTTTCACTGGTGAAAAATAAATTTTTACAGTCAAATTACCTGAAGTGAAAAAAATGCATTTTATTTCAATATTTCTCAATATTTCATAATTTAGAAAAACTCTTTATGTGAGTTAGATTATAATGTGAAGTTTTCCTAGCTATGAATAATCATGTTGTCATGTGAAATGAGTTGCAATGTGAAGAAGGTTATCATGTGAAGTAGGTTTCAATGTGAACAAGGTTATCATGTGAAGTAGGTTGCAAATTTGCAATGTGAAGAAGGTAATCATGCGAAGTACTGGTTGCAATGGTAACAAGGTTATTATGTGAAGTAGGTTGCAATGTGAACAAGGAAAACATGTGAAGTAGGAAGTAGGTTGTAATGTGAATAAAGTTATCATGTAAAGTGGGTTGCAATCTTGGTAATTTGAATAAGGTCATCATGTGTAGGAGGTGTCATGTGAATAAAGAATCATGTGAAGTAGGTCGCAAGGTTATCATGTGTAGTTGGTTGCAATGTGAGCAAGGTAATCATCTAAAGTTGGTCGCAAAGATTGTGAATTTAATTGTAATTTGAATTAGGTAATCAAATGAAGTGAGCCGTAATTTGAATAAAGTTGTCTTGTGAAGTGGATGTAACTAAAGATGACCAGATGCCAATCCATGTATAAATGGATAGTATACAGGTAAAATAACTTAAAATTTTGCCATAACTTAGTTCAATTTCATATTTTACTATGTAAAAGGGATCATTAATCCATGTGACCCATGGTATAATGAATATTTCTGTTAATATCATCCAGAATGTTTCCTTAGCATAGAAGTTGCTGCCATTGACGTCTGAATCTTAAAGAATGGTCATATTTTTTTATTTCTCAATGGATTTACATTGTATATGTACGTAGATACAATAGCCCTTTGCACCAGACCTTCAAATTGACCAGCTGAAGTTGACCTTCTCTCAAGGTCAAGTATTTGAATTTGCTTGATTTTTGCTATGTGATTGGGAGGGGGATATTGTTATGGCATTGTCTGTTCAGGTCAGAATTTCGTTTCCTCTCTAGTTCTCTGTAACTACTCGCTAGAATTCAATGAAACTTTATGGAAACCATCAAGTCCAAGATGAAATGCACTAAATGTTGCCTTGTTCTGGGCAGAAACTTCAAGAAGGAGATATGTCCCTAATTAATAAGTTATGCAGTATGCATATAGAGCAATAATCGTTTCAGATTACTTGAGACTCTGCAACTACTGGCTAGAATTCAACGTAACTTTATAGGAACCTTTAATACATATATACATGTAGATAAATTTCATTTGGAGATAGAATAATGTCGGTTTTACAGAACTAATAATTACTTATCTAAAGTGTATACTTTAATCTTTAAGGTCAAATGTTTGAATTTTGATTTGGTTGTTGGCTATAATTGTCTATAACTTTGTTATTTGTCAAGGCCAAAGGTCAAGGTCACTATTACCTTAAAACTGAAAACAGTTTCCGTAGCATAACTTAAGGTCCATTTGGCCCACAGTGTTTAAACTTCATAGAACGATTGTCCATATTGAGTAGAAGACCCTTATTGATTTTTGGGTCACAAGGTCAAAGGTCAAGGTCACTATTACTTTAAAACTGAAAACAGTTTCTGGAGCATACTTAAGTTTCATTTGGCCCACAATATTCAAACTTCAAAGGATGATTGTCCAAATTGGGAAGAAGACCCCTATTGATTTTGGGATCACAATGTCAAAGGTCAAGGTCACTATTACTTTAAAACTGAAAACAATTCCCGGAGCATAACTTAAGTTCCATTTGGCCCACAATATTCAAACTTCATAGGATTTTTGTCTATATTAGGTAGAAGACCCCTATTGATTTTGGGGTCAAAGGTCAAGGCCACTATACCTTAAAACTGAAAACAGTTTCCACTCAATGTATTAATCAACCTTCGGCTGTAAAATTTTATAGGATGAACAGCCAAGTCCAATACTTGACCCCTATTAATTTTAGGGTCATAAGGTTTAAGGTCAGGGTCACAATGATCTTTACACTGAAAATTGTGGTTTCTGGAGACTAATTCAAGTTCCATTTGGCTAACAGTGTCCAAAATTCATAGGATGAATAAAAGATCCATATCTATATTGGGGTCACGAGGTCAAAATCAAATGATCTTAATAGTGTTAACAGTTTTACAACTGTCAAGCTTCATAGGATGATCACTTATATTGAGTTCATTAACTGAATGCCTTAAAAAATTTGCTTATATTATGTTTTACCCCTTTCGTCTTTCCGTCCATCCGTTGTAGCATTTTTACTTTCAAGGTGGTGCTTTGGAAACAGCAACTGTTTATATATGAAGGTTCTTCAACTATAAAGGAGGATTGCTTTTTGAAGGAGGTATTACTTTATTTAATTCCTATGTCTTACAAATGCTTCATCCTTACTAAAAAAAACACTTTTGGGCATATGTGCTCTTGTTGGTAATTTTCTTGCATTGTAATTTCCGATTGCAATTTGTAAATTACTTTATTTGTTCACCTCACAATATTTTACTTTCAAGTTTATTTCCAAAATTTTCATTAAAATGGATCTGAGGGCGTACTGCTTTAAGTAGATCAAAATTATTTGGACCTTCACTTTAAGCTAATATTTGCTATATATAAATTTGTAAATAATGACTGAGGTTTCTTCATAGTTATCATCACAACAAACCTTGGGACAAGACATACATTTGTAAAAGAATTATTTTTTGAACTTGTCTTTATATTTAGCCATGACATTTTATGGCCAATTAGTTAAATTTTGTCAATTGTGATTGGCCATATCTTTCTTATTGATAAATTGATTTAGACAAAATGATTTTGACTGTCAAATGAGTTTAGCTCAGATTGTCCAACTTTCTTTACTTACAGATTTTATTAATTTTATACTTGGACCACAGAACCCTTATGAAAAAAAACCTAAATACAAAATAGTTCAAATTTGACCTTGACCTGATCTGACATGAACTGACCTTGGCAATCAATGTCAAATAGTTTTAATGTTTGTCATAACTTTGTTGTTTATTTACAGATTTACTTTATATTTTGACAAAAGAACGCATGATATGACAAATCGAACATGTCAAATTATTCTTATATTTCCCTAGACTTGACATGTTATTGACTTTGACTGTCAATGTCAGATTTGCTTAAATTATTTAAGCTTTTTATTAAATGACAGATTTTATCAATACTTGGCCTAAAAAATTTCAAATTTCAGTCAAATTAATTCAAGAGAGTGGGAAAAATATATTCAAAAGACTATATCCCGAGACCACAAATATGTTCTTTTAACCAAAGTACAACTGGTTGGAGTACTACTTTATGTGTTCATACGCCCACATCTAGCACTATTTATAAGGTAAGTTATAACTGTTATTAGATTTTCTGGAGTGTTATATGGCTCTAATACTGGATTTTGAACTAACTTGGCACAACTGTCTACCACATCAAAAAGGTGTGTGACATGTGTCACATCCAAGACCCATGTTCCTCAGGTGGTAAGTTTGCTATAAATAGCACTTCATTTCACAAGAATAATATAAAGCAACAAGTTACTTTAATTCTCTCTCTTTTTCATAATACCTTTCTGCAATGTTTAAGAACCCTTTTTGGGGGCATTGGTCACTTTTGCGTGACAGCTCTTGTTTTTGAAAAATTGGCTGATACGTTTTTAGTAAAAAATAGATTGTCTTCATACTAATATGGGCACAACAATCCTTAGGACAAAACTTGAAAGTAGATAATAATATTATAATAATGATAATAATAGTAAACACTTTATTTAATGAAGGTAACATATTAAGATATACATATCTTATATGTACAATATGGCCTTCAAAAACCATTTAGAATAACTTGACCTTGACCTTAATTTGACCTTAACACTAAAGGTCAAATTAGTGAATTTTTCTTCAATGTGCCGTATCTTTTTTTTTTTCATTATACTTGGGCAAAAGAACATTTTTGATCAATGTGACTTAATTGTTAAGTAATTCATATATCACCTTGGCCTTTATATAACATTGACTGTCAAGGTAAAAGTTTGAATTAAAATATAATTTTATCTATTCAACATGATGGTCCTCTTGTATTTTTTTTGCACATTCAACAGTTGACCATTCCATAATTGGACTGGAGCCCAGTCTTTTAGAATTTTAGATCATGATTTACTGCAGAATGACACGACTTTGTTATAGTAATAGTAAACACTTTATTTCATGAAGGTAACATGTTAAGATATACATATCTTATATGTACAATATGGCCTTCAAAAACTAAACAATGTGACTTAATTGTTAACTTTGCGAGTCGTCAATATTTACATTCACATTCATCAGCTTTACACTTCAGGACTTATTTAAGATTTTCTTGCTTTGTTGCAAAACATTTTTATTTACATTCTCCTACAAATGGAGTGACAATGTTTTCTTATCGCCGTATACAAACAGAGACATAGATAACAGAGATAAGCAGCCAGTGATTTTCCTGCTTATAGAACAGACTCCGATAAAAGGCCTCTTCCAAACTGACATTTTCTTTAAAATCATGCAGTTTTCCCAAAAATCTGAACTTAAACCTGCTTTTTTACTTCCCAAATTAGCAATTTTAGCGATTATTTTTCCCAAAATCAAGTGGCTAAGGCCTCTTTCCAATTAATTGAGAAAAAATCACTGGCAGCTTCCTAACCAGTTAAAGTATCACGCGTTCCTGATAAACTTAAAAAGTGTAGCAAGTAAAACTTTACTTAACCAGATATCAAAATCAGGAAAATAATACATTTTCTGAAAGCTTATGCATTTGTGTATGGCTGCAGATAAAAAAAATACAGTTCCCATTTAAATAAATGATACATCAGTT